GCTTCCAGGGCTCGCGGATTTCAGACCCCACCCTCCGCATCCCGACCGCTTTCCGAGTCCAGACCCGGATTCTTCACCCCGTCGGGGAGGGTGGGTTTATGCAAAATGCCACATGGATTTTTTTTGGGGGGGGGGTTACAGATCGGCGTGCCTGGGCGTGGGCGACCATTTGTCTGTCATCAAATTAAGCTTTAGCTTTAGGGTTGGGGGTTGGAGAAAGGGTGTGTGCAGTGGGGTACCCAAAAGGTTATCACTCCGTAGAGTGAGTGAAGACCACTCATTAAAATAAGCATCGTGACTGTTATTTTACAACGTTTGGAGCAATTCCACTTAGGTAACTTTATTGGATAGAGAAGCACATTTGACTGACTTTAGTAAGAGTCTTTGGGGGATAGGGACTATTTTAACCTTTAATAACGGTCCCTTGGCCTCAGATGCTGTAGATGATAGTAGACATACTGAGAACCAGAGGTTGAGTTCATCCCCCAAACCTTTGCCATAACCGGCACGTTTTCATCATTTTGATTTAAAATATGTACGCTGCTTTATGTTAGTAAAGATCACCTGGGTGTGGAGTTAACCTTTGTATTCTCTTCTTTTGCAGATATGAAGTGCAGAGACTCCCATTCACGGCTCTCCATTCTGTTTTCTGCAACAGCGCACACTCTGATGGTATCTTACCTGCTTGGAAATGGCTTATTAGTACGTTTTCTTTTTTAACTCTGTTTTAACTCCTTGTCCTCCCATCAAGATGAAAGTATTCTTCGTTCCCATTTGGGGGAAAAAAAGCCATTTGAAATTTTTAACTAAGTTACGGTGTATGAGGGTAAGATGGGAGGCTTTACAGCTTTTATTTTATTTTATTTTTTTAAGAATTTTTGCCCAGGACTTTTTACACTTTAGGTTTTCAATTAGAAAGCAGAATAAGATCAATGTGCTTTGTACTGATGCCTTTGATAGTGAGAGACACTCAGTAGTGTGTTTGCTATTGAATCAAACAGAAGAGAAGGCCAGTGATTGTGGGAGAATCTGGATTTCAAATCTGCAAAAGGAAGGTGCAAAAAGGTAAGTAGTTGCTGCCAACGCAATGGATAGCGCTTTTTTATTTTCAGGGGCTCTTTGTGTTGGTGGGCTGTCTTTTCTTTTTTGGGTGCTAGGGAATTGCAGTTTCTGAATTTTGGTCTAATTTCCAGCAGTGTTTCTTTTGTTTTTTTCAGTATTTCTTATAAACAGCAGTTTCTTTGTGAACAGCTATTATGCGAGCATTTGAATGTTTGGAAGGGAGAGGGTTCTATCCGGTTTTTTGGGTTTTGTTTAAAAGCCATTAAGTGGGGGAAGCCACACAGACGTTTCCTTCAATGTTTTCATTGAGCACACACACCTGGGGAACAGCATCCTCTCAGGTATTCTGGGAGTGCCCTTTGGGAGGCACAGCCCTGCCCTCCAGGAGCTTTTTGGGGCACCAATTGTGGAATGGTGAGATTCCAAAGTGAGAGAATAAAAACACTCTCCCCAAATCCAAACTCACTGCCATTGACTCAGTTCTGACGCACAGTAAGCCCAGTAGGACAGGGTAGAACTGTCCCTTTGGAGTTCCAAAACTAACTCTGTGGGAGTAGAAAGGCCTCCTCTTTCTTCTGTGGAGCAGCTGGTGGTTTCAAATTGCTGACCTTGAGATTAGTAGCCTACCCTGGAACCACTACAAGCACCACCAGACCCCAAACTCCATGCCATCAAGTCAATTCTGGTTCACAGTGACCCTAATAGGGTAGAACTGCCCGCCCCTCATGTGTTTCTGAGACCAACTGCTTATGGCTATAGGAAGCTTCCTTATTCTTCTTAGGAATGTCTGGTGGTTTCGAACTGCTGACCCCTGGGGTTATGAGCCCAATGTGTCATCACTGCTAACAGGGCTTCTATAAATAAAACACGTCTTTAAAATTTTGTAATAGAAGGGATTGTAGTTAGCTGATACTTTTCCATAAAGTACGTATGATTTGAAAAAAGACCTGCCCCAAAACGTTTTGTAATCTGCCTCGGCTACTCAGGTTACATACGGAGTTTGGGGATTAATTCATGAGCCCCGGTTTACTTTCCTACAGGCAACATCACGAGTCTGTACGCAACAACTGTGTCTAAAATAGTTTTATTTGAATTGACTAATCAAATCTTTAGGTAAAAATATAAAGAGCCTTTTGCTGGGTGTCAAGTGACTGGTGTTCTACCACATTAGTGTTTAGGACTCTGGCAGCAATTTACAATTATATAGGAAGAAATGGAAGTTCTTTTTAGCTTGGCAGGGAGGAGGGGTCAGTTGGCTTTTTAATGGTAAAGCCATAATGGTTCAGACTAGGTTTATCTGGTTCAAAGCTATATGCTTTTTCTACATCCATATTAGAAAGTTGGACTGGTGTTTTTTTTTTTTTATGTTCTGCTTTGTTTTTTAGCAGTTAGAATAAAACTGGATATTTCTGGATTTCGTATTTGCCAGGATTTCAGAGGCTGTTTGGGAATAATATAGTTTGCTATCTACGTGGCACAAATGGTTAACGTAGTAGCACGTTTGGCTGCTAACCAAAAGGTGGGACCTTCAAATTCACCTTGAGACCCCTTGGATGTAGGGCTTGGCAATCTGTTTGCAGAACATCGACAATTGTAAACCGGAGGTGACACAGTTCCTTCTCGAAACACATGGAGTCATGGATTGGAGTCGACAGTAATTGGTCTTTGTCAAATAGCATGAAAGAGAGGGGTGTTGGAGCCGAGCGGATTAACAGCCTTCTGCTCTAGAGATTCCCATCTCTTTAGCTGTGTGTTAGGGCAAACACAGCGTCTACAAGCTTGGTCCCTGCCTGTCCAATGACGCAAGTGATGGTTAGCATTTGATAGACTACTCAGTTCTTCAGTGTTTGTGTCTGCTTGAATTCTTCCCCTCATGAAGGCCAGTTAGTCTAAGTCCACCATGTGGGGGGAGTGTTTGAGCCTGGAGGACAGGGATTAATATAAATGAACATTGGCTTTTCTTTTTTTTTTTTTGAACATTGGCTTTTAATAGTATTTCAAAGTCTTCACTTCCGTGTCCTTGTGATTTCTTTCTACCTTACTTTTAGAATCATTTGATTGAAGAACACATTTCCTGTTTGTGGAAAAGGGGAGCAGGACCCATGTAACTCAAACAGCACATAGAAAGGGGCCTTGAAGGAAGGCAAGAAAAGGTGATATGAAAGTGATTATTAGATCTGGCTGGAATGTCAGGGTACCTGGGCATTTGGTTTTTGTTCCAATGTCTGTAATTTACTCAGCGACTAGGGCACAGCGCTGTGATTCCTTTGGCTCCAGTGTCTAGTTCTCTTATGAGGTGAGTTTATTTTGGCTATGGACTGTTCACCCCAGTGCATAAGGGGGCTTCAAGTGTTCATGGGAAAATAGAATGTAAAGATAATGGGATTTTTCTTTCACGAACTTTTTGAAGTGCCTTTGTAAATGTGTAACGTGAATTCGGTGATAAGGTGGCCTGGCTTTTGCACCATTCTGTTATGATTTCTCTTCAAGGGTGCTTTATGGGTATAAGGTTCAAAAAGAGTTTATAAAGCTCAGTTATTTGAAGTCCTTTAGATGGGGCATTCTTTGATTTGTCCAGGCTCTTACCACGGTTGTTTTATACTGGGCCCTCTTAGCTGCTTAGGTTAACCTGCCACCCCTGGGCCATTGTTCTTATAATTTTTATTGTGCAGTCTGTTACTCTCAACTCACTGTCAGACAGTCCATTCCAACTTCTAGTGACCCTGTAGGTCAGGGTAGCACTGCCCCTGTGAGTTTCCAGACTAGAAAGCCCCTTCTTTCTCCCTCTGTTACTAATTGATGAAAATAATCTGTTAACCCATTTAGGTCTGTTTGCGTTTTCCCACTTCCTTTTCTTCATTAACCTTCAGCTTTTGTAATTCCAATAAGTACACTTTTTCTTCATTTAGCTTTATAAAACAAGGACCTCTTCAAGTTGCTGAGCTACCTGACTGATTATGATAGGCAGATAATGAATTCATGACCGTGATAATCATTTTGTTTAACTTTTTAATTAGAGGAAATGAGGCTCTTTGTACACCTCACCCAGGCCTTTCTCATCTTTAAGCCAAACCCGTTTTCTCAAACCTGCTTTATCAGCCCTGCTGGTTTATTTTGAGGCCGAGCCTAGCCATCACTAACCATAAATATTTGGTAATAAACTTCTAAAACAGGTTTCCAAACTTATTTGGCTGACTCTTTTGAGAACAAAAATTACAGTCTAGTAAAAAGTGTAGGGTGTCTGCTGTAGTAGGCCCGGTGGATCCTTCCAGTACCTCCACCCCCAGGGAGTGATAGGGCCTCTTGGGGAAACACTGCTCTAAAAACAAGGAGCGTATAACCATGCTCGCATAGGCCCACCTAAAATAACAGCAGTGTCTTTATGACATCAGATGAGTGTCATGAACATTTTATACATTGTTTCAGGTCTTAAACACATTAACCCTGTTACAAGTATTTTCAAATCCAAATTCCATACATTGTATTTGATTGGTTTTCTTTCTTTTTTTTTTTTTTTTTGCCCCCTCCCCTTCCCCCCTTGGTTGGTTTTCTTAGCCTATTTGTTTTTCTTAGCCTATTTTTACAGTTTAGGTCACCTGCCATCATTTTAATTCTCTTGGTTTATCTGAAAAGGAACTTTGAACTTTTGTGGAGATTTCTACCTTGTGACTCCCCTCCCATTCTGTTCCGTGCCCCGCACCCCCTTGCACTCGATGCTGCATTTCCATTGTATCTATAATCCTTCCTCTTCTGTTGGGACCGATTTACCAGGCAAGGACTCAGGCCTCCAAGGCTTCTTTTGAAAGCCTCTCTCCACCCTTCTTTAGGGCCAGTGGAAATCATTATGGCTCTCTTGCCTGTGGCAAGCAGTCACACCTGTCCTTTACACATACCTTCAGCTCTTAGACCAAACTGAAGAGTTTAAGCAGTCAAACTATCTTTAAAAAAAAGAGCTCTCAATCCAGACTTGGGTAAAGCTGGTTCCTCAGCCTTCTGCATTGCTTGGACTAAGTGGTTCTGCCTTTACAGAGGACTTATTTAAAGGTTTGTTGCTCGTCTCTACAATATAGTATCACACATCTGATATCACCAGTTGGATTATATTGTGCACAGCTTACAAAAATGGTTTAAAAAAAAGCACACTCCCACACCCATAACAGCTTAACATTCTGGCATATCTTTAAATTCTAACTCCTGACTTGATGTGAAGTACATAATCTTGAAATACATGTCTTTAAAAATGCGTATACAGTACATTTAATTTTGTAGTATGCTTAACAGTTGTAGCTAGTTGTATTTTAAGATTGAACCTAGACAAATTTTGATGTGTGTCACTGTTGCCTGCATGAGAATTGGGGTGATTTCTTTGGAAATTTTATATTTTCTTAAGTTTGGAAAAAATTTGTAGAAACTTTACTTAAAAAATAAATATAAACCAAGACTGATTTCTTTTTTTTACAGAGACCATGAAACGTATGGTGCACTAGCCCTACTTTTGGTGGGAAAAATGTACAGCCATTCTGGTGAAGCAGTGAGTAGTGGTATCAGTAGCTTATATAGAGCATCCAGGTGGAGAATCTAGGCCTTTCAAGTAGTGTGCTTGTTTGTGTTGAGTCATATTTACTTAAAATAATACTAAAGTTTTTGTTGTTGGGGGCGGGTACATAACTCCTATTCCAACATGTAGATAGAGGATTTCTCACTGTAACATAGCCCGGGGTCAAGTGCTGTCCCTCTGACTCAGCAGTGAAGGCGTCCTTGCATGTCACACTGATCTGATCTTTCTTTTTTTAATCGATGTGATTAGTTGGAGGGTGTTACAAACCTTTGAATCTGAATGTAAAAAGATTCTGTAACATACAGTATCACAAATTTGTGATTAGATTTTATGAACCAGATAACTAGATGTGTCATGCACAAAACATGCAATGCATGTTTTATTGGACTTTGTGATTTCTAATAAGTTTAATTTGCAGCCTTTTAGATGTAAATGAGACCACACT